ATTTATTATTGAATGCTACTTTGTTTTCTGACGATGCAATTTATAACGAGGGTTCACAATTTATAGCAAAGAGTTAAGGGGTTTCACAGGGATGAATCGCGTTCATTGAGGTGGTGTCGTGGCAAGTGGCACGCTTACCACACGCGCGGTTCTGGGGTGAAGCCGTATCGGTTTTCGCCCAGGTCAACCAAGTTTTTAATCTCCGGGGAGGGTGAACTAATGATAGATTCGTCTGGGAGGACAAGAACAATAAACTTTACATCGGTTGGCCCTTGCACTTCATGGTATAGGTCTCGGACATTACATCCACGTTTACGCGACGCGCACAATCTAGCTAGTATTTCCTGGCTAGTTGACTCGATATACTGCACCCTTCTACTTTTCGCGCTGACCTCTTGGGATGTAAAGTAAATTCTATACCTGAGTTACAGCGATCACTAAATCTCACAAAAGGAAATGATACATTACCCACAAGGATACATACCTTGACTGAGGGGGAAGAATGAACTAGATCTCAAACGTACCTGAGGTGATACTCACGATTACTTCATGCCATACAGAACCAACTGGTCTCAAATCTTTGTTGTCCGGCACGTAGAGCATTGCCGCCGTCACTACACCGGTATCATAGCCAAACAGGAATCCACCTGAAAAAAAGTGATCAAATAGCAGAAATGTAACCTTTGTTACTTGTAGGTGGATGGAAAGTAAACAAATGAGCCGTCTGAAAAATTTCCATAACTCTCCATAGAACCTCAGCGTACAGGGCATTCCTGCGTGACTGAGGAGCGGTAAATGACGCGAGACGCACACTCGCTGGGTCCTCATAATTAGAGTCTTTTCCCCACTGGGGGAGGGGGAAAGGGCACCCAAAAAAGCTTGCTAGAGGCATGTCGCGTGATTACTCACGGGAACCAGGGCTGTGTATGGGACAAGGTAAATTGGGCCTCAATCGACAACCACGTATCATTTTTAAATCAGAAAGTTGTATGGTAGGGGCGTTGAGGGGCACAGCAGCGCAGGTGACTCCGCCTCGTGTTCGTTTCCATCATTTCGTTTCTTTGCTCTATCGCTGTCCTTGTCTAGTTTCTCGCACAGAACCCCTACGTATCCCTGCTTCTTGGAGGG